TGTGGCCTTTCCAAGGCCTTATAAAGTGGTATAATGCCTTGGTAAGGCCACACTTGGAATATTACATTCAGTTTTGGTCGCCACAATGTAAAAAAGATGTTGAGACTCATTTGTTTAGTGACTATTTGAAGCACTGAAAAAAAAGTAACTTGTGATCATTTTTCACATTTATGACCATTGCCACATCCCCACAGTCACGTAATCAAAATCTGGACCCATGGCAACTGGCATGTATGTATGATGCTTGCAATGTCCCAGGGTCACATGATCCCATTTTGCGACCGTCTGACAAGCAAAATCAGTGGGGAAGCCAGATTCACTTAACAACCATGTTATTAACTTAACAACTGAAGTGATTCGTCTAACATCTGCAGCAAGAAAGATCATGAAATGAGGCAAAGCTCACTTAACAACCATTACACTTAGCAACAGAAGTTTTGGGTTCAATTGTTGTTGTAAGTGGAGGACTATCTGTATTTGATGGCTCTTTAAATAGTTATGCCAGATTCAAACGTTGAGAGCTAAGTTTTGTACTGACTATTTAGACTATATTCAGACATCTTCAATTGTATATTAACTAAAAGGATTTTGTAAGGGAAAAAACCCTGAGCTTATTGAAATACCAATTACAGAGTCTGTACCAATTCATTTAGATTCGGCTTGTAAGAGCTTTGAAATTAAATTAAAACTGTATTTGCATCTCATTTGAATTGGTTTTATGCTGGTTGCCAGCCTATCTCACCCAATATTTCTGCCAATACGTGAAATTTATACGTTTACACATAAAGTGACCTAGAATTTAAAGATTTTTAAAAAATCAAAACACCACCCCTTTTCTTCCTGGTAATTAAGTATCTCACAGATCAATGCATTTTTTTAAAAAAAATGTGTAAATTAAATCAATGAACGGTACTTAGTCAAATTAGGCCAGAAGGAGGAAGGAAAAGTATGCAAGTTGTTCTCATCTTACAAAATTCATCCAACAGACAAAAAAAAAAAACCCTTTAAAACAGAAAAATAGTTTGAAACCTTCCTGACAGTTTTCAATTTCAACCAATAGAGTATCTAAGGAGGTATATATGTTCTGGTAGGAGGGTAGTAGCCAGGGGTGAAATGCTCCCGGCTCAGACCGGATCGCCCGATCGGAGAAGCGGTAGCAAAAATCCCTGCCCGCACCCCCATGCCCAGCTGAGCCATGTGATCATCAGAGGCCTTTTTTTTTTTTACTTTTAAAAGCATTTTTTCTACAACCTCTTTGGTCGAAAAAAATGCTTTTAAAAGTAAAAAAAAAAATCCTCTGATGATTGCGCGGCTCAGCTGGGATCGTCAGTCTTTTAAAAGCATTTTTTCTACAACCTCTTCAGCTGAAGAGATTGTAGAAAAAATGCTTTCAAAAGTAAAAAAAAAAAAAGTTGGCCACGCCCACCCAGTCACATTACCACCACCACCAAGCCACGCCCACAGAACCGGTAGTAACAAATTTTACGTTTCATCACTGGTAGCAGCACAAAATCAACCTATATCTCCATGATCTGGTGCACATATAATTCTTTTTTTTTTTAAGTGTTTTTATTTTATAGACAAACATACAATACATAATCGCTCATTCAGTGCATCATCTGAGTACATCTCTTGTGTCTTATTCTTACTTCTCCAATATTTATCATATCTTAATATTTTCATTTCATTTATTATAGCATTTCTCCCACATTTCTTACTTTTCTATTAATACATTTATCTATCTTCTTTCTCCACTTTCTCGTTCACTTATTTCATTACAACATTACCCTATATATCTTCTCTAACCAATGATAAAATTGCCCTCATATCTTAAAATATTCCGATTCCTCTCTTTCTTTAATTGTCAAAGTCAATCTATTCATTTCTGCACAATCCAATAGTTTCTTAATTACTTCTCCCTCTGTAGGGGTTTTCTCTGCTTTCTACCTTTGCGCAAATACTATCCTCACTGCAGTTATAAGTTGTATAATCAAATATCTTTTTTCTTTACTAAATTTCTCTGGTAAGATACCCAATAGGAACAGTTCAGGTTTTAAATCCATATGTTGTTGTATCATTTCTTCTAGCCGTGTTTTAATTTTAATCCAATAATTTCGCGCTTCTGGATACGTCCACCACCACGTATAATTCTTAAATGGAAACTACAGGTTACTAACAAGATAGGCTGGATTCACATATCACAGAAACTAAAAAGAAATCACATTACGTGTGGCTTAGCTTAATTGGTTGAAACCAGATACTAGAAGCTGAATTCCATGATTTGTAATTATCACCGATTATAAATTAAGGGCTTCGTGTTCTGAAATAAATATGGTTCTTTTTCGTAGACAAGCTATCATTGTAACAATCCAAATTACAGAAAATTATTTGCTTCTGAAGATGTCCGCCACAGATGTTGGTGAACCGTCAAAAAAGCTGCCTCTAAACCAGGGATCTTCAACCTTGGCAACTTTAAGCCTGGAGGACTTCAACTCCCAGAATTCTGAGATTTGTAGTCCGCCAGGCTTAAAGTTGCCATAGCTGGAGACCCCTGGTCTAGACCACCGTCACTAAACCCTGAAACTCAAACACTGGCCAACAGTACAGGTAGTCCTCGACGTACGACCACAATTGAGCCCAAGATGTCCACTGCTAAGCAAGACAGTTAAGTGAGTTCTGGCCCATTTTACGAGCTTTCTCGCCACAGTTGTTAAGCGAATAGTTGTAGTTCTTAAGCTAGCAACATGGCTGTTAAATGAATCTGGGTTCCCCATCGACTTTGCGTGTCAGAAGGTCATAAAAGGTGTTCACAGATCAGCCCTCCCACCCTGGGACTCTGCAACCGTCATAAATACAGGCCGGTGGCCAAGGGTCCAACTTTTGATCACATGACTATGAGGATGCTGCAACAGTCGTTAAGTGGGAAAAACGGTCATAAGTCACTTTTTTTTTCAGTGCTGTTACAACTTTGAACGGTTACTAAATGAATGCTTGTATGTTCAGGACTACCTGTACTTACTTAACCTACACATTATCAGTCCTCAATCAAGTAAGGACACTGAAACAGTCTACATTTGGGGGTTGGACTAGAAGACCTCCAAGGTCCCTTCCAACTCTGTTATTCTATATGTTTTTATCTTCCTAAGGGAATGCTCACCTATTTTCTTATGTTTTCCTTTGTAAGATTGTATGTCTAATTTAGGAGCTACTAAAAGGCAATGTCGGCAAGTCAACATTCGGAATTATCATTAAAAATTAACTAAAATTAAATAACTGAAGTTAGGAATAATATTTCCTCTTATTTTGACAGGGCATTCTCATTCACATCCTTCGTTGCAAATTGCACAGCTCCAGTCATTTCAAAGAAACGAAAACAGTCATTCCATTAAATATATTATTTGGAAGCACTTCACGGATTGCCAGTCATTCATTCGTGCCATAGTTACCTAATGGCTTGACTACTGCAATGTGCTTTACGTGGGGCTGCCACTGAAGACTATTTTAAAGCTTCAGCTGGTCCAGAATGTCTAGAATGTGGCAGAGCAAGCCGTTAATGGGCATTCCTCAATATGTTCATGTGCCACCTCTGCTTTATAAACTGCACTGGTTGCCAATTTGGTTCCGGGTGCAACTCAAGGTGCTGGTTAATACCTATAAAGCCCTACATTCCATAGGGCCTGGTTACTTGAGCCGTCTTCCATTTGGCTGATTTACTCTTGCAGAGTTGGCGTCCTCTGAGTGTCTTGGATGAAACACTATCGTCTGTCCTAAGGAAGTCAAACTCAATTTCATTGAGGGCCACATCAGGGTTGGGTTTGACCTCGGGGGGCTGAACGGGCATAGCCAGGGTGGGCATGGCCACCTGAATGTCACTCGTGTCAGGGGCACCTAAGCGCTCTTCCAGGCCCACCCAAGCTCTGTTTTCACTGGCAGAGGGTTGCAGGAGGCCGTCGCAGCCGGAAATGGAGCTTGGAAGGGCAGCATGTGGCCCACCCAAGCTCCATTTTCACTGGCAGAGGCACTGCGGCCAGTCCTTCATTGTTTCCAAGGCAGCCCCACAGGCCAGATCTAAGCACCACGCAGGCCAGATCTGGCCTTGAGTTCAACCACTACTTTAGCTTCAACCTCATTAATACACGGGCAAACAATAGATACAAACTCAAGGTAAACCACTCCAAACTCGATTGCAGAAAATACGACTTCAGCAACAGAGTGGTCAATGTCTGGAATGCCCTACCCGACTCCGTTGTTACAGGCTCAGACCCTCACAGCTTCAACCTTAAACTGTCTACCATGGACCTCACCCCATTCCTAAGAGGTCCGTAAAGGGGGCATGCATAAGCGTACCTGCGTGCCTACCGTCCCTGTCCTACTGTCCCCATTTACTTGCACTTATTTCCTGTGTTCATGTCCATGTTTATACTTATACCTGTTATCTTGTACATGTTTACCAAACTAACTAAATAAATACATATGAATAAATAAATCTGTAGCAGCACTGCATGCTACTTATTCTCTGAGATCCAGATGGCCCCCATTTCTGTTGTTTAGAAGAGTTGTGAAATCGTGTTTCTTCATCTAAGTCTTTGGTATTAATTCATCTTTTTAAAAGGTCCCAGAATTTTCTTTTCAAAGAACCACATGGATTTCACCTATCAATCTCACTACACCTGAATTACCATCTCTGTATCTGCATATGAATATTGTAGTTACAACACCAAAAATTTGACAAGACATATCCACCCACCACACACAAAATAATTTCAAGCGTGTTTCTATTTGATCTAAAACATAGCTTAATCTTTTTCAGAAAACCAAAATGTTGAATGAAATTTGAAAAATACACACTGTGCAGAGTGCAATTAAAATCCTTATTTGACAAACCTCACCATTCTTGTCATAAGCTGGAAAATACAACTGCAATATAAACCCTGATTAAAAATACAAATGTTAAAAAACATTAGCAAACAAACCACAGGGCATCTGCATTAACAATTTACCTGTGTAACTAGTGGCTCCAATAATCTCTCCACAGTTAGAGTCCTGATTTCCAAACTTTTGGGATCCCATTTTAAAATGATGGGTGAAGTTGCAGAAGTCATGCTCTCTAAAACAAAAAGATAACGAGTGTTATAAATCATGCCCAGAGCCATGTTTGTTTCTGAATTTTAAATCAGATGCTGGATTGATTTAAAAGGGCTACATTTACAATGGACAACGTGCTCAGAAGCTAATTCAGAAATAATTAAGTATATTGTACATTGGGGGAAATGTATAGGACCGTGATGGCAAACCTATGGCACGCGTGCCCAAAATGGCATTCAAAGCCATGTCGCCCAACATGTGCGGCCTTGCCTGTTTGTCTTCTGGGTTTCTGGCACGCATGCGCGCACGACGATCAACTGTCCACGCATGCAGTAGTGCTGAAAACTGGTGTGCACATACATGCCGGCCAGCTGATTGTTGGGTGCACATGCGCGCCAGAGCCCAGAAGTTCGGCTTTTCCAGAGCGCAATCCCTTTGCGTGCATGACAGTGCTGAAAACCGGCCTGTGCATGCGCGCTGGCCAACTGATCGTCAGACGCACATGCACACTAGAACCCGGAAGTTCGGCTTTTCTGGAGCACGGCCCCGACAAGCATGTGCAACGTTTCCGCACAACCATCACTGGTGTAGGAGTTCCAATGGATATGCATTAACTAGATTTTTCTCTCTTGTGTATCTTTTCTTGGCTTCAGCATAGAAAATTTGAAAACAAGGTTTAGTAATATTTTTAAAAAAATATTTTCTATATTATACATCTTACTGGACTTTTAGAAACTGAATACACAATCATTTTCTGCTGAAATACACCCCTGCGATGGTGTACTGTGGAAACAGCCTGAAATTGGGAGAAAAATGAATCTATGAGCTCTCAGCTGAGCTATGTTTAAGTGGGTTAGTGCACACCCGGCTCCTTCAATGGCTTGTCATTGCTCATCTGTGCAGATGTGTGCATGATCAGTAAAAAAAAAAAAAATCCCACATCCCTGAAGACAGTCAGGGAAGAGGGATGCAAAACAACAGCCACATGAGTCTACTTCCAAAGGATGTAGCTGCTTTAATGATTCGAGGAGAGTTGCTTCATTTGTACCAGCATTCTTGTAGGAGATGCCCAGGTTGAGCCTGAGGGAGGGGTCAAACATGTCACCAGTCTGGAGTCCTTTCATGCCCACAAGAGATCTAAGTCCAGCCCACCTTGAATTCCATTGACTCTTAGCTACCGCCAATTTGCTTGGACCGTTAGTAGTTCAGATTCTTGTACAGAGAATATGCTTGCAATAAACCTGCATTCATTTGAACCATCGTGACTCCTGATTTCCTGCACTTGCCAATCCTTTGCCAAACTGTTCATTCAAATACTCTGCATAACCCTACAAACTCTTTCCTCCTCTACAGTAAAAGACTGCATTTGCACAGCATGAAGACGGGCATGACGAAGTCCTCGGAACTTTAAACACAAAGAAGCTAGCATTTTAGGCCGAAGAGTTCAATCCTTTCACTGCACATTATTTCCCCGTTCAAATCACTCAGCCTTGCTGGCCCCACACTTGCGTAGAATCCATCCAATTTTACTGCAGCATTTTTTTTTTCTCAAGGCACTGCCTCTAAATTCAGATTTTAGCTAGTTCCTGGGTCCAGAGAGCATCCAAAATCTGTTAAGGTTAATCCTTTAGAAAAGATTAAAAGCTTTTCTTTTATCACATTCTCTACATCATCATGATCTCCTCTCTCCAATAGATAGATAGATAGATAGATAGATAGATAGATAGATAGATAGAAAGATAGATAGATAGAAAGATAGATACAGTAGATAGATATAGATACAGTAGATAGATAGATGATAGATAGATAGATAGATAGATAGATAGATAGATAGATAGATAGATAGAAAGATAGATAGATAGATAGATAGATAGATAGATAGATAGATAGATAGATGTGGAGGGAGGGAGGGAGATTAGATATGGATATATAGATATAGATATATAAATAGCTATGTACAACCAGGAAGCAATATCCTTTGGGCCTCCCACATCAAAAAGAAAATACATGGACGTGCTTTGATTCTATTTTCTTCTTTTTCTTCTGAAATCATTCTAAAATCTATTAATTCACACACACCCCTAACAATTCAGCCATTGCCAGCAAATTGCCTTGTGATACATAAAAGCTCTTCCTTACAGCCTTGTTCCTTACCTCATCAACTAATAATATGTAGAATAGAATAGAGCCGAGGCGGCGCAGTGGTTAGGGTGCAGTACTGCAGTTACTTCAGCTGACTGCTAGTTCAGCAGATCAGCGGATCAAATCTCACCAGGCTCAAGGTCGACTCAGCCTTCCATCCTTCCGAGGTGGGTAAAATGAGGACCCAGATTGTGGGAGCAATAAGCTGACTTTGTATAAAAAAGAACACCGCTTAGGGGGGGCCGAAAGCCCTACTAAGCAGGTATATAGAAAAGTATGAAGGCTATTGCTTAACACATTGTAAGCCGCTCTCCGGAGTCTCCGGAGAAGGGCGGCATATAAATCAAACAAACCAATAATAAAATGAGGACCCAGATTGTTGGGGGCAATATGCTATTTAGTATACTGTCTTTGGTGTAAGCCACCCAGAGTCCTCAGAGAGTGGGCGGCATAGAAATATGAATAATAAAAATAAATATGAATAATAAAAAAAATAGAACAGAACAGAACAGAATAGAATTCTTTATTGGCCAAGTGTGATTGGCCAAGGAATTTGTCTCGGTGTACATAAAAGAAAAGATACCGTACATTCGTCAAGAATCATAAGGTACAACACTTAACGATAATCATAGGGAAACAGTCAATTAAATCTTAAGGATACCAGCAACAAGGTTACAGTCATACAACATAGACTTGTTGTGGGGAAAATAGAAGGATAAAGGTGTGTTGGATGTGTTCGACGCTTTGGATTGTTTGTAAAAATACTAAAGGCGATATACAAATAAATAAATAAATAATCAATAAATCAATCAACTCCTTCTCCTGTCTGACAAGATTATTCCCCACCTTCTGGTGTATCAGATAAATGCATGTGCATAAGGAGTTTCACACTTATCTGTGAATAATTCCATTTGTAAAGTTAACCTCATGGATGCTTTAAACCAGTGACTACTGTGTCATAAAAAGAATTATAAATAAAAGCAAATCATTAGATATCCCGAAGGGCTCACAAATCTTTTTTTTTTTTTACTTACTTAAATATCAAATAGAATCGTGTAATAAAGTGTTTTGAGGTTCGAGTGATGCCTGGAAGTAGCCATAAAGGACCCTCGGTGCCAATGACAGAAAGACAAGAAAAAATGTAAAACGGGAGATGAGAACACGCAAAAAAATGTCTGTGTATTTCAGAATTGGGCGGAGGATAAAACTGCAGGTTAAAAGAAGAAGTTATGAAAGGGCAGATTTTTAAAACACTGAAGGCAACAATAAGCAGGAGGGGGGGCTCCCTTGGGGAGAAGCACTTGCCATTATTCAGTGGCAGAAAAACCACCCTCAGGAGTGTAATAAAACAGAAGAAGTTGACAGGGGAGGACTAAATCATCTTGAAGCGACAGAAAAAAAGCATAAGGAAGATGCAGCAGACGGTTCAAAGGAATGCTTTGTATCTCCCAACTATACATTTTCATATTATTCATTATGAACAAGAACTTTTGGATGTTGGTGCATCTGCGAATAATTTCTGGGAAGCTTCACGGGTGGAAAATAATGAGCATACAATAAGAAAGCGGCCACTATATTCAGGATTGGGGGGGGAGAAAAATCTAGCATAGAATGCAGACATTGTTGTGGTCCGCCAGCAGCCTGCAGAGCTAGCAGCGGAGTCGGACAGTGAGGAGGCTGGGGAGGACAATGGGCCAGTCCTGGAGTCTGGGGAAGGCCCGGATGAGGGCTCTGCGTCGGAGGCAGAGATGAGGCCAGGGCCATCTGGGAGCGATGCGCGGACTCCGGAGCCTCCAGAGGCGGACAGCAGAGAGGCAGAGGAACAGGAGGAGCCTGTTCCTAGTGCACACATGAGAAGAGCTGCCACAAGGCAAGAGAAGCTGAAGCAAAAAGGACGACTCGGGAGTAAGGCCAGGAGATGATTGGCCCCTCCCATAAAGCTTAAAAAATCAGCAACTAGCTGTTGGGTTCTTTGTAGAAAAGCAACGTTGATTCCGGTGCTTCTTGTCAGCGTCTCTTGAACTTTGGCAAGTTGGCAAGTTGCCAAAGACATCAAAGGTTGGTGATAAGGCCGTAGGACTGGTTATGAAGAATTTTGTTTTGGACTAAGCTGAGAATGAATTAATTCTCAGCTGTTTTAATAAAATAAGTTTGTTCAGGACTGCATTGTGTTTGGTAATCACTACCTGGGCTTCGGTTACAACAGTCATATAGAAGATATGGATAACTACGAAAATAGATTTCAAAATACTTTTTACTTAAGTATTATATAACAAGTCTTTCGTTTTGTAGTGGACGCGATCGTGGAGTATCATAAAACAGAAAAAACTAATCTGAACTCTTCAGATCAGGGGTGGACTTCAAAAATTTTAGCAAGGGGTTCTCTGCCCAGTTGCTCTGTGGGTATGGCAATGGTGGGCATGGCCTAGTCGGCTTCCTGCACCGGGGGTGTGTGTCATTTTTGTCATTTTGCCATTTTGGCTCCGGAGGCTTTCCTTCAGCCTCCGGCAGGGTGAAAGCAACCTCCCCAGGCTCTGGAGGCCCTCTGGAGGCCAGAAACGGGTCCATTTCCGGCCTTCCCGAACTTCCGGTAGGCCTCTTTTCGCCCTCCCTTAGCCTACGGCACATGCCCTGCACTTACCTGCATCCAAAATGGGCCACATGAGGACTCCTGGGAGGGGAGGGGTGGGCGGGGCAGGACCAGTCAGGAGTGGGATTTGGGGGTTCTCCAAACTGCACAGAATCTTAGCTAGAGGTTCTCCCGAACTCGCAGCAGCCCATCCCTGATTCAGATCCCTGCAAAATACATGCAGATCCCTCACAAAATACATGTTCAGTCCATTGAACAAGTATTGATTCAATGGACTGAATATGATTATG